TTTATGCTGTCTGTAAAGAATGAAGAGTGAAGGCTCATGATCATTATCATTGATGTCTTGAATCTCAGCCAGGTTGTTCATTTGACTGTGTTCTTAAAGTATGCTTTTGGAAATTTGCAGTTTTTGTAATAAATCTAGTGGATTTCTCTCAGCATGTCTCTTTCACTCTTTCTTAGTCTCTTTCAGACCCACAAGCTCCACTCCTCCCTTCGTCTTTTTTCAATGAATGCCCACGTTCACACAGGAGTGCAGAGGTAATTTGGGCTGCCGTTTTTCTCCAGCGGGGGCCCCATCGCCGCACCGCTGCGATCCTGTCAGACGCTGAGGGGCTGAAGTCACAGTGAGTCCCGGGTCTCCAAGCTCCTGCCAGCGGGACTCTGGCCTGGCCATTCTCATCCCAGTGACAACCAGAGAATGGAGTTTGTGACCCAGAATTCTAAGCTATGTATGATATGACAAAAGGCCAGGCCACTGCATCTGGAGAGGCCAAGCATATTTCCTTATGGTTCCTCTTCCTACAGGCACACGGCTTTGATGTAAAGATGTACAGTTTGAAGAAAGAGTTTTCCTGTGTGTAAAAAAACGGGGAGGCATAATCTGATTGGCTTTTCAGAAACTATGATTAAAGGAATACGCAATACAAGTTTAAGCTTAACTGACAGCGCTTGTGGCATAATGCTGAAAAATGATTTTCACTTGCCCCCCCCCTTTTTTTTTTTGCATTGAGGCACTTACATTGAAAGTAAATGAGACCAATATGTAAATGATAGAATGCTCACTGTTTTAACAGTTTAGCCACAAAAAAAGTAAACTATTTACAGTGATAATTTTTTTTTTACATTGTCATGACTATATACGTCTAAAAGCCTAAACCAACCATAAAATAATGAGAACAATTTTACGGCTCAAATAATACTCAAGTTTTCACAGTAGAATTAATTGAAGTGTTTTTTTTTTTTTTTTTAAATAAGATTACAAGTTTCATGTTTCTGCTTTTAAATCCTCCAAAAAATCCTCCCATTTACTTTCTATTGTAAGTGCCTCACTTTAACCTAAAAATTAGGTAGAAGTCAGAATACATTTTCAATTAAGCTGAACTTGTATCAAACCTAAATTAAACCTCCGGTAAAATCAATTTTACAGTGTCCTTGTTGGACGTTACATGTACTTACTATAGTAATAATGTTAAATTATACATAATTAGATGCAACTAACCCTAAATCGAACCCTATCCCTATATTAAGTACATTTAATATTACATACTTCGGGGACACCTTAAAATAAACCATATTTCCCTAAGAAGTGGTTTGTTTATTTGCATGAATGCTAATAATTATAATAAGATATGTACTGATAGAACATTACATTCAGTATGTTATAATAACACACAATGCAGACTAGTCATGTGTAATCATAAGCACTATGTCATTAAATTTATGAGGCCCCTTATCAAACATTTAGTATCATCATGAAAGTATCATCCTTCATGATGATACTAATTGTTTGGTGTAACACGAGGTATAGCTAAAGAAAATAGTTATCTTGACATGACAAGTGCTAATGCTGTGTGTCCTTTTTCACTTGCTCCCCTCCCTTCTCCCTCTTTTTGTCCAGCTGCTTCATATCAGTGTGCAGGCTTAAGCAGTTTGGGCATTGAATTATCTTTTTCAATTTCTCTCACAGCTGAGAGTGATTAGGTCACCATGTTGTCCTTATGTTTGACACGAGAAGATATGTGAGGAGATGGGTCAGGCAGCCGTAATGCAATGCCATGAAGGCTCATATCAACAATATAACCACTTTTCTTAAACCATCTGTCACGTTTCATATTAATCAAAGTTTGTCTAAATCCATCTGGATGCTCAATCCCACACGTTTTTCCAAGTACTCGCCATGGTCAGTGTTACACCAGAGATGCCATATGTAAAATGCTCTCTCATTCATTACATGATGAGAATGATTCAGGGCAGCCATTCTTGGTCAAAAGCACATCTAAACAAACAACTTTTTAAATAGCAGAGAAGTTTTATGAACACAGATGGGCTTTGTTATGAAGTGGCCTGGAAAAGGTCTTTCCAACCTTAACAAGTTTCATCAGTCTATCTCTCCTGTCTAATCTCTGTGAATCTTGATGGATCCCTGCTTTACTTAATTTGTAGTGTTCTCATTCCATGGAGCAGTACAAGATTTGTAAAGTGCTTGGATTTGGAAAAGACCCCAAGCAGCTGCTGTAGATCTTGGAAAGTGTCTATGTTCAGTTTAGCACTGTCAGCACTCTGACCCGGCTTTGTATTTTATATTAAAAAGTTTATTACGACAAAACACACAGGGGGTCAGAATGCAACCCATGCATTCTGAGTTGTTTTCGGAGAGAATCGTAAAGCTGTATTTTTCTTTAAAAAAATATGATAAAACTAAAAACTCTTTGGAGATATGAAGGATGCAATACTACTCTATTGGTACTCAAGATTAACATGAGATTGGGTGAAACTGTTTGTGTTATGTCCCCTTTAAGATTCTGAGATAGTTACAATGTGAGATGAAAAAGTTTCACACATTTGTGACTTAATTTCTCGCAATTGTTACTTTATTTATTATGTGACTTTGATTATCGTAATCACCACTTTGTTTCTTGTAAGTGTGACTTTATATCTCACAATGTGACTTTATATCTTGCAATTTCAAATTTGTTTCCCATAATTGTGACTTTAAATCTCACATTACCTTTTTTTGTAACTGCCACTTTGTTTCTTGTGTGACTTTATATCTGACAACTGTGAATTTGTTTCTCAGAATTGCAACTTTACATCACACAAATGGGACTTTATAACACACAATGTAATGTTGTTTCTCTTGATTTTGTTTCTTGTGAGACTATATATTTCAGAATGTGACTGTCTCACAATTGCAGATTTGTTTCTCATAATTGCAACTTTATACTCCACAACTGGGGCTTTATATCACACAATGTTACACTGTTTCCTGTGATTTTTTACTCTGAGGCAGAAATAGGCTTCCATACATTTCTGAATGACTTTTTGTTGAATTTATCCAACATACTAGAAATGTAATTGTGTATGCAGTATGTGTGCAATCTATTAGCAAACTGTATTTAATTGGATCATAAGTGCAAATACTTCGTTCAACCCCATTTTTTTTCTCATGAGAATGCACAAGACTTTGCCTCAGTGAACCTTAATCAAATTCTTTTGAAGCCTGGCGATAGATATTGCACCATTAAAAAAATCAAGCTTGAAAGAAAAAGAAAAAAAGCAACCCGGGAATCTAGCCGTATGTCTGATTATTGGATGATTGTGAGGTACAGTTTAGCATAGTGGTGCAGGGACATTCAGTGACACATCTTGACCCTTCTTTGAACACTCGAGTCAACTTTCAGCATCCATTCAAGCTTTCTAGTTCTTATCTCATCAAAGCCAAGAGGAAGTGAAGTTTACACTGACTTGAGGTCACCCTTGTTACACCATTGCAAGTCCAACACAATACAGTCAGCCTCTCTCTCTCGCTCATTCATACTTTCCTTTAAGCAGCCTTACAGCTGGTGCATGGTGAAATCCATATTCACTCCAGGAAATCTTACAGTGTAGATAGAATCTCCAACTCTTTTCATCTAAACTTAATGGAAAACTGTACTATGCTCTGTCCAAATCTATAACCCAAATGAATCCCATGAAGCAGGTTTATGATAACTTCAGAGAAGATACTGTAACTGTAAATAGAGAATACCTTCTGGAAGATTTTGTGGCTGTAAGGAAACATATGTATTGGGCCAATATGTTTTTACTGCTCATGCAGTGATTTAAAAGTGATTCTCGCATAATTAGCTATCAGAGTGCAAAGTAACATTTGTTATTAAAGTATATTTTAGTGAATCCTGCATAAAATGTTTAATTTCAGCATACAAGGATATGTCTCAATTGCTTTATAATAGTCTACATCACAAATATCAGCATTATACACTGAACAAAATTATAAACGCAACACTTTTGTTTTTGCCCCCATTTTTCATGAGCTGAACTCAAAGATCTAAGACTTTTTCTATGAGAAGTGCTCACTAACACAGATTTAGACAGATTTGTGAACAATATTTGAGAGAAATAGGCCTTTTGTGTACATAGAAAAAATCTTAGATCTTTGAGTTCAGCTCATGAAAAATGGGGGCAAAAACAAAAGTGTTGCATTTATAATTTTGTTCAGTGTATATTGGTATTCAGCCACCCTGCTGCCTAATAACTGGTATCAGCATTGGCCACTGAAAAACACTTATCAGTCATATAAATGCACATTGCTGGGACACAGGTGTTGGGACAGACACAAAAAAAAAACAGCCCGAAAAGTGGGAAACTACCATATACAAGAGAAACTCTGTGGACTTTATCAGTAATAAATATAATGTCATATTCTATTCAAGATTATGTTGAAGGTCAGGTGGTCAAATTTACAGCGCTCCTTGCTCTTTAAATTTAGAAGTTTATTTATTGACCCAAAGCTGTTTGTATTAATGTAAACGTCAATTAGTCTAAGAACTATCTTATGAGAGATAGGCAACAGAACTGAATGTAGCCATAACTGCACAGTCTGAAGTAGGAACAAGAACATAATGCACGTGTGCATGATCGTTATGAGTAACATATTCAGTGATTTTAAAATGAAGTTTAGTCTGCACGCTGCATTAGCGACACATATGGCAGGAGTGGCCTTCTGAGAGAGGGGTGTCTCTTAGAGTACGCCCAAGTCTCGGCTAGAGTAATCAGCAAACTGGAGACCACCACAGTTGCATCGACCCCCTTTCTGGTATTATGCATGCAAACCAAGAGCTCCGACCGAGCGCTTGTTAGCGACATGGAAGTCACTTCTATAAAGTAGAGGAGAAACGTTTTGGATGTGGCAACCGTACGGCAGAAATCCCGGCTTGAGCGCGGTTTCAAAAGACAGCGGAATACTGAATTCGGGCTTGCTTGCTTGCATTGATTTTTTTAACGTGGACAATCATGGTTTTGTTCTTCTGGGGACTAAGTTTTTTAGTATTACTCTCTGATTTTATGAATGCAGTAGCTTCAGCAGGGACACCGCGAGGTTCAGAGAAAGGTATGAGCTCTTTTCGTGATCTTTTACTCTCTGAATCAACTCAGAACCTCGAGGCGCGGAGAATGAATGACTTTTCCTTGCTTGCTTCAGAGCTCATAGCGCGCTGTATGAAGAGTCTTCGAGTAATAGTAACTGACTGACACCTGATTTATCTCGTGGAGTCTTAGAGGAAAAAACAGTTAGCAACTATTTTGATGGAGCTTTTTCTACATATATTTTGAAAGTAGTGTAGGCTGACAATGAATTATTTAAATAAAACTTAAAGTTGTGTTCAACACTGTTACTATTAGGCTATATTTACCTATTTGAGAATAATTCTCTAAGTGAGCTCTTCAAGGACAGGTTTAAGTGTTCTCTTTTTCATTACTTTATGTTTAACAGTAGACACGATCTTACACTGTCAACCCTGTTGCCATGATTAGTAGGTAGGCTATTTCAAGAAATTTCGACATTAAATTGTTTTTCTAGCAAGTGTAGTTTCTGTATCTTGTAATGCCAAATTAAAATGTAAAACTGTCAACCCTGTTACCGGTTTGTTACATAGACGCGCAGAGCAATACTTGATCATTTAGACAGTTTGTCTGAAAAAAAAAATGTTTAAATGCCACAAAAATGTACTTTACAAGTCACTGCAAACGACATTTATAGAATGACTGACTTGTTGTTACTTAATTTTACTACTCAATCTCTGTTTTCTACCACAGCGAAATTATCGCATTTTGGCGCGTATGAGATTGTAACTCCGGCCAGAGTGAATGAATCCGGTGACAAACTGCCAACAGGCGTGCACTTCAAGAGGAGAAAGCGGAGTACCGACCCAGTAACCGGCAACATCTCCCATCATTGGACCTCTCCGCACGTCTATTACCAACTATCTGCCTTTGGGCAGGACTATTACCTTAATCTTACACTCGAGTCGGGATTTATTGCGCCAGTTTACACTGTCACGATACTCGGAGCATCCAGTGAAGGTTATAATTCAGAAGAGGGGCAGGAGGAGGACACGGAGTATCAGCACTGCTTTTATAAAGGACATGTGAACGCTGGGCAGGAGCATACCGCAGTAATCAACCTCTGCTCCGGTTTGGTGAGTTTAATAAACGTTTATTATTACTAATAATTATCTTCATCATAATTTATGCGATACAGGTCGCAATATGCATTCATGCATTCAGAAACTTTGCAAATGTTAATATGCACCCCAGATCCTTCCTATGTGGTTACATAATTACTCGCACACAATCGCACAAAGAAGTTTGGAGCTAGTTAGTCGGATACATGCGCACCAATTTTGAGACAGATCGCTTCGAAAGTATTTTCCCAACATGTTAAATCAGGTATCATACAAACTTACGCTCTGTAAATGAGCTGGGTGACGCACACTCATCAGTGGCATAAGCAGCAGTAGTGTGCCCGACGTCATCGGCAGTCCATATATGGGACTCAGATGTCATCTGTTGATGTGAACGTGAGGTCGTGCCATGTAACGCAGCTTCTCACAGATCAAAAGTAGTCTTGGGAACGAACTAGCGAATCGGTTCTTCAGAATCGTTTCAAAGAACCTATTCAAACCGTATTTAGTGATGCTTTCGTTGTTACGTTGTCCTTGACATCCAGGCAATGCACGCTCTATATAAAACATTTAGATGGTGATGCTAAACAATGCTCAAATTAATTTAGGCTATATCTATGTAAGAATATTTGGTTACTTTTGAATGTCTGTCAATGGAGATTGTCAGAAAGCATTATATGTCCAATATTTTTCAAAATGCTATCATGAGAACTGTAGGCTTTCAGTGAAAGCGGAAGGATCTGTGTCCCTAATTAGTAATTAGCCGCCTTTTCAATTAATCTGATGTTTGCTTTCGAGTTTGCTCTTGATTGTCCTCAAGCACCATAACGTAAACCATATTGTTGGTTTAAAATATTCAAAACATTTAACAAAACCAAAAAGAGAAAATGTTATGTGAACATTTTATTACATTTTAACCTACACATTGAAGAAAAACGGACACAACATGATTCATTTATTCCTCCTTTCAGGGTTTGAACCTATGAAGTTTGGATTGCCTGCCCTAGATAACACTACCCCCATTAGTATAGAGTGCCTGTAGCTGGGAGATTATATGGTTATATGGTATTTTAATGTTAAAGTTATTGCACATGTATTCTTATGCAGAATCTCCGGCAATTTTTAGTAAATTTGTCAGGCTTGTTTGGGATGGCCAGTTTGTATCCCTTAATACTCAGGTGTATACAAACAATTTGTCTAAAATATGTTATCTGTAATACAATAACCGGCCTCAAACCTGTTCAATATGTTTCTTCTTGAAGATAAGGAGAGCGTTTATCAATGTGCTTCTCACTGGCTTTTAGGAAATTCACATTTCAAAACTTTATGCTTCGTAAGTGTGGCAGAATGTTCTGATAGTTATCAACAACATTCTGCATTCATTACCCCCCTGAGGCCAGTACACTGATATGCATGCAATGTATGTTTACTTTATCACTCCATCAGCCACTTAGGATTTGTACGTAAATCAAATCTTAGGGGGAAGTTGTAAGGGCAATTTACAGTCACACACAGAATGTGTCTATAGACTTCACTGGCTGCGGACCAATTTAAAGTTTGTTGTTTGTTTTAGCTTGGCACTTTCAGGTCACCAGAAGGAGAGTTTTTTGTGGAACCCCTTCATAGCTACAATGGTAAACATTATGAAGAAGAACACATCAAACCTCATGTCGTGTACAGAAAAGATGCCTCAAAAAAGACAGTAGATGACTCAACTACATGTGAAACTTCAGGTAAGCAGGAAGATACGCACGTCTTACCTTTTGAGTGGAAAAGTTTTGAGAGGTAAACATCTGATTTTAAACTTTAAAGTAAACCAATGTCAGTAATATTTACAATAACAAAACTGTACTGGATCATACTGGATCGTGCATCGCTGCAGTGAATTCAGTGACTCCCAGTGCATTGTACTGACTCATATTCAAGATAAGAAGCATTAATTTACCATATTGTTTCTATGTAGTTTTGCAAATAATATGTTAATGCATAATTAAATTAACCAGTTATAATTCTGTAAATCTAATTACGATTATGAATATAAGCACAGCACAACGCTTCTAGGCACGGAAACGGATATGCTATCATTGGCATTGAAATACTCATAGCGCTATTCATGGTTTCTTTTGCATCCTTTGCTTTTCTATTTTGAAATGTCATTGAGTAGAAGTCAGTAGAACAGGAAAAATCTTTTTGGAAGTTCTTGGTATCGTTCCAATCTTAGTTTACTGCCACAAAATCCTGTTGACTCTTGCACTTCCTGTGGCCTGAAGATAAGGAAACTCAAGAGGCCCAATACCATGAAAGCCACGTGGTGAGATGCATTCTAGTAAAGCAATGCCAGTTTTAAGTGTTTGTAAATTCAGTGTTACAAAAATAAATTTGGATAGGGCTAATATACCCTGCTGCATATCAATAGCACTCAACAGCAGCTTTGTTTTTTGAATTACCCCTTTGGTGTTCTTTGGTATTGTGTTATGTAAAGGAAACGTTTAGCCCCCAAAAGTGCTGGGAGAAGAACTTACTTTAGTTTGCAAGAGTTTTATTGAAAGCTCCATTGTGGCTTTCTTTTTAGTCTAGTGGAATAGGATTAATTTTGATTCCCAGTACACTTTTTTGTGAAATATTTTTGCAATTGATCATATTTTAAAATGGAATTTATTCCTGTGATGGCAAAGCTGAATTTTTAGCCAGTCTTCAGTGTCACATGGTCCTTCGGAAATCATTCTAATAGACTGATTGGCACTCAAGAAACATTCTTCAGTTCAAACTAGCTTTTACTGACCCTAAGCGGTTGCGTGCATTCACTTTTATGGAGGCTCACCTGTCTACAATCCATATTATCATCTAATATAGATAATGATTAACCCTCCTTGGATGCATAATCACTTCACTTTATGTATTGTTTTCCTCCTTTAATGCAGGACATAAAGAGCCACACCGCAGACACAGGAACAGACTGAAGAGAAAGTTGCCCTCAAGCATGTTGTCCGACCTGGAGACTCTTAATTCCAGACTCTTCTCTGCCCCCTTCCCCTCCTCAGAAAACAAGCACAACTCCGCTAATGAAAGCAGTGACTCCAAGCCGCACCGGAGATCAAAGCGTTTCCTCTCCTACCCCCGTTTTGTTGAAGTCATGGTTGTGGCAGACAGCAAGATGGTGGAACATCATGGAAGCAACCTCCAGCACTACATTCTTACACTGATGTCCATCGTAAGTTCTGCCCAGTTAACAATAGCCTCCTGGTTTGATGGGTTTGTGTCTGGGTCTGCGTTAGGTCTGGTGCTCTTGCTCTTACTATGCTCTTACAGGACAGATTATTAGCATGGGGTGAATATGTCTGACAGACTTGATGAATGTTGAATATAAAACAAATAAAATCAGGTATGTTGCATGGACTGCATGCTTTAGATGCTTTTTCGTTGGAACTCACAGGGAGGTTAGATGACCTATATTTTGATCTTGGCAAAGGCTGAATTCTCAGCAGGATCTGGCAGCACAAGCTAGTTCTCAATGGCCAAGAAACATTTTTTTTCAACAGCTGAGGTTAACATCACGTGTTCAACGAGGTCTTTGTGTATTAAAAAAAATGTAAACACCACCCTACCAAGTACTTTCACATTTTGAGTGATTATATTTTGATTGAAATATTTTGTGATGATTACAAAAGGTTTAAAAACATTCTAAAAGGTTTTTGAAAGAAGTCTCTTACTCTCAACAAGGCTGCATATTTTGATCAAATTACAGTAAGATTAATGTGAATTAAAAAACAAACAACTGTTTTCTATATTAATATATTTTAAAATAATGTAACTTATTTGTCTGATGGCAAAACTGAATTTAGAGCAGCTATTACTCCAGTCTTCAGTGTCGTATGATCTTTCAGAAATTATTCCAATACACTGGTTTGGTGCTCAAAAAGACATTTCTTATTCTTATCAATGGTGAAAACAGTTATATAATATTTTTGCAAAATTGTAAATATCTTTACTGTCACTTTTGAGCAATTTAATGCATCCTTGCAGAATAAAAGTAAAATTTCTTACAGTCCTACTGCCCCCGAACAGTTCTGAACAGTAGTGTATAATATAATAACAGCTGAAACTCTCTGAGGCTGGTAGTTTGAGACCCCTGCTGTAAAGTAATCATAAGCCCTGACAATGAATTCCAGTTGTTTGTGTTCTCTCACTTAGGTTTCCTCCATCTATAAGGATCCCAGCATTGGAAACCTGATTAACATTGTTATTGTGAAGTTGGTCATCATAAAGAATGAGCTGGTAAGAGTTCTTTGTGTGGAAGTGTGGTAACTAATGGTTGCATTAAGGGCGCTTTTAAAATGTACTTAAGCAGTATTTTACAGTTAAACCTTAACCTTATTCAAATGTTATCATCTGTCTTCTATAGGATGGTCCAACTATCTCTTTCAATGCACAAGCTAGTTTGAAAAACTTCTGCATATGGCAGCAGAGTCAGAACCACCCAGATGACAATCATCACTCGCATCACGACACCGCCATCCTAATCACAAGGTAAGAACGATTTTTATGGAATGGTTTAGATTTTTTCTCTTTACCTATTCCTATTGCTCACAGGTGTTGTAGAACATACAATAAGTCTAGTTGTGCTATGTTTTGTGTCGTCTCTCCACAGTATGATTTCAGTGCCATTCATTTGGCAACACAGAAACTTTATACTTGGTGTGAACCTTGAGCAAAACAGTACAGAAATGATTTGAGTAACAAAGTAATTATTTATAGTGCTACAACTTCTTAGGCTGTACTTTTCATGGCCATGAATGCATGCATAAATAAGAAAGCAAAGGACAGCACAGACACAAATGCAAGATAAAAGGGTGTCCAAATTTGTGAAGCCTTGTCCTTTTTCTGATTTTAGGCAGGACATCTGTCGTGCTCGGGACAAGTGTGACACTTTAGGTAAATCATCTTTGTGTGAAAATGGTGATTATGATCATATTAAAGTTGACAGTTTAACTACGGTGTTCTCTCATGCACTTTCAGGTCTTGCTGAGCTGGGTACAGTTTGTGATCCCTACAGAAGTTGCAGTATTAATGAGGATAATGGACTCAGTACTGCTTTCACCATCGCTCATGAGCTTGGCCATGTGTGAGTACTATTTTTGTGAAATATTTCGCTTTGTAAATGTGCGCATACTTTCCCCCTTCAACATAAATGCCACTTGAATTCATTTTTTGCTTTCTAGCACAATGACAGTCATGCATTTTTAAGTTTTAAGTGTGGCTTAAGTGTCCAAATAATTGTCTTTAAATCATTTATTTTTAAGTTTTGAGTGTGGCTTAAGTGTCCAAATACTTTTTGAGCCGTAACATCTCCTACATTATAAATGCTGTTTGTCACACTGACTTTGCTTGAGAAGAGCTCTTATTATACCTAGAACTAAATTATCTTTAAATTATTTATCTACTATTGTGTTCTACTTTTGTAGTAGAACTTCTTCAAGGTCCACCAGTCTGCAAGTTTCTCAAGCCTCTTCACTGCTTTTTGTCCTATTTTTTAGTATTTTATTTTGGTATGTTTTGGGGAGATGTCATTGCCGTTTGTACAGCTCGATAATAGTCTGTGCAACTTCTCAAGGTCTGTTCACCACTGCTGAAATGACTCAGTTATGCTCTTGTTTTTTTTTAGCTTAATAGAGTCTTGGAGGTAAATTATCTTAATAAACGAGGTCATGGCTGATACAGTGGTCTCATGATGGTCAAGTACAGAAAAACAAACATTCTGTCGGTATCTGTTCCTATTTCAGCTTGGCAAAAATCTTCAATAAAAGGCCAATATTTATGCCACAATATTGGCAAATGGATCTACGCCTAAGTTTGCATGTACAGTCAAATGGAATTTACCTCTAAAAGGCCTTTAAACGAACTCTCTTTTTGAATTCCATTCTTATCCGGTGGCAGGTGGTGACATCAGTGCCATGTGCTTGAGTGAGGATTTAGTCTTGGTGCTGTACAGTGCTATGCAGCGCGTACCACCTCTCTCACCTATGGTTGTCCCAGAATTTGATATGTTCTGCTACTCATGGGATTATTACTTTCCTTACTGGTGGCCAACTGATATATATTTTTTTAAATACTGGCAATATTGCTAGCAATATCTAGAGAGTGGGGTGGCAAAAGGTCTATTTAATGCTGATATAAATAATACAGTTTATTGACGACAAATGAAAAGAAAAAAAACCTGAACTAAAATGAACTTATTTTATGCTGTATTCACTAAATATTTACTGAAATGTCCTTAATGATTTAGGATATTTAATTGTTCATTCTCATTTCCCCTATTTTCTATTTTTTCATTTAGGTTACCTTTGCCATCATCATATTATATATATATATATATACTGTAGATAGATAGATAGATAGATACATGTGATATACATATGATTTTTTTATTTAAAAAAAGAAAGAAACATCAAGTAACACATTGAAATAAATGTGAAATTTTGAAGTAGAAAGACTGAAAGACTTCTTTGTTTTATTTCCAAATTCAAAAAACTTTTTTTTTACATTATTTTTTTTACAACTGTGAAAATACCTGGTTTTGGTCAGTCTTACAGATAGTGTGCCGATCAGAGTACATGTGTCCTGAACCTGCTCATCATATTGTCCTGTTTGTGTGTGTGTGTGCATGTGTGTTTTCAATCATGCCCTTAGGTTCAACATGCCTCACGATGACAGTAACAAATGCAAGGAGGATGGAGTCAAGAACCAGCAACATGTGATGGCCCCTACGCTCAACTATTACACCAATCCTTGGATGTGGTCTAAATGTAGTCGGAAATACATCACAGAGTTCCTCGAGTATGTAACCCCCCTTTTACAATCCACACAGTCACAGAACCTGTGATATTGGTTTGAACTCTCGATGTTGAGCCCGACATGTCCAGCGTCAACTTGCATTTGTTTTCTTCTAAACATTCTCAATTGGAATGGAAACAACGTCATCTGTAGCAAACGGAACAGATTAATGTTTTTGTCTTCTGTCACTTACTGAGATCATTTGTGTTGTTTGTGTCTTGTTTTTCTTCAGCTCATTTGTTTATTATTTATCATTAGCACAGGGTATGGTGAGTGTTTGCTCAATGAGCCAGTTTCTAGGCCATACAGTTTGTCCCAGCAGCTGCCTGGACAGATATACAGCGTCAATAAACAATGTGAGCTGATATTTGGGCCTGGGACACAGGTGTGCCCATATATGGTGAGAAGATCCCTCAGGGAATTGCATAACATACTGACAAGGACGTTTTCTACTGTGTATTATCTGCTGTCTAATATTATTTATGGAGATGTTTTTAATAAAAAAACATAAACAGAATCCATAGTACAGCTAGTAATATCAAAGTGACATTCAAAGCATGTTACGCGTGCAGAAAAAACAAGTGTCAGTACAAATTTTGTGCGTAAGTGTGTGTGTTTAAGAGTTTTTTTAAGCTAACAGTAAGTGTTTGGATGTTGTGCAGACACAGTGCCGAAGGTTGTGGTGCACCAGTCCAGAAGGAGTCCAGCGTGGCTGCCGGACCCAACACATGCCATGGGCAGATGGGACAGAATGTTCTCCTGGAAAGGTAAGCACTCAGTAAATCAAATGTGAACATATTTAGAAAAATGTCATTAGGCTCCAGTGTTGTTTAGATCCCAACAATATCTTCTTTTGTGTTAAATGACATGAGGGTGAATAAATGATGATAGAAATGTCATTTTTGGGTGAACTGTCCTTTTAAAGATAAGGGGCCCTATTTTAACGATCTAAGCGCATGGTCTAAAGCGCACGGCGCAGGTGCACTTAGGGCGTGTCCAAATCCACTTTTGCTAGTTTAACAATGGGAAAAACAGTCTAAAAGGGTTGTGCCTATTCTCTTAATGAGTAATGGGTGTTTTTTGGGCATAACGTGCAATAAACCAATCAGAGTCGCATCTCCCATTCCCTTTAAGAGCCAGCAGATTTGCTATTTACATGGCGGAATTTGCAAGAGCAAAGACAGAACGCGTCTTCACAGATGAAACCGATCTGCTCGTGCGTGAGCAAATAGGTAGCCTAATTCTGATACATGCAATGACTATCCATTATGACATGTAGGCATTTTTATATTTATCAAGCATAGCAAGGAACAGTGTGCCAGCTTTGATGGGCGGCACTTCAACATCAATGGTCTACCTCCAAATGTCCGCTGGGTGCCAAAGTATAGCGGAAGTAAGTTGCAGCTGGCACATAATGGGTTGTAGAATAAAAAATTCAAGGGATAGTTCATATTCATATTAAAATCTCACCATCATGTCATTCCAAACCTTTACATTTTTGAAAAATAATAATGCAGGTCTTTGAACGAAAAAAAAACGAAAGATCATAGTGACCATGTCTGTTAAGTTCTGAAAAGTGACACAAAAACTGATGTGAACAAATGATTCAGTCTGAATCAATTAAAAGAACCCTCTCGAAAGGTTGATGATCCAATTTCAACTCACTGATTCAATGATCCAATAACAGCAGTTCTTGATTTAACAGCTCACTAGAGAAGAAGATTTTTACTGAATAATGACATGGGCTGCATTTCCCAAAAGCATTGTAAGCCACCAATGGTCTCTACAATTAACTTAGTTTATGATGCTTTTGAGAAACGCAGCCAATGTCTGTTCCTCACACAAAGCTGTTCTATGTACACCAGTAGTTTTGGCTACATTTATGGTGCTCTGTTGTCATTTGGGAGCTTAAAAGACATCACTACAAATTGTAAAAGCGGCATGAAAATTCTTCAACAAATCTTCCTTTTGTGTTCCACGGAGTTTCCTCGTGATTTGAGACAAATCAAATTACCAAACACAATTAGATTTTAATTAAGTTGATAATTGTGTGGTACAAAGATGAATAGCTGTGATGAGAAACATATTATCAGTGTCCTAAATACAGTAAGTCAGACTGTATTAACTCTTTCTCATGGCTGTGTGTGCTGTAGTTCTGATGAAGGATCGCTGTAAGCTATTCTTTCTTCCATATATCTTCTATATGTGTTCCACTGAAACAACTTGTAAATAAACAGTTATAATTAGAAATATTTTAAAAATGACAAAAAAAAAATAAAACGAAAATGAAAATATAAAAATAAAAAATAAAAGCTAATTCTAAATATTAATAAATACTGTAATAGTAAATAAATAATACTAAAACAACACTGCAGATTTCTCACTTGATGTTTGCCAGTAATTTCTGCTCATATGCCCTCAGTATTTGTTGAGAATGTCCCTATAGAATAAGTTTCTTAATTGTTTCAGTTCAAACTAATTGTTAAACTAATATATAATTGCTTTCAGTATGTATAACCCATATTAAACAATCCTCCAGAATTCCCTCATTATTTGAGACATGGTGGAGACAATGATTTCAAAGGTTCCATACTTTCAATGTACTTACCAAACCAAATTACATTTTAATTACCTTGGGAATTGTGTAGTACAATATCTATGATGAGAAACATATTATCAATGTCCTAAATACAGTAAGGCTGAAGTCACACTGTATTAACTCTTTCTCATGGCTCTGTGTGCTGTAGTTCTGATGAAGGTTCCCTGTAAGCTATTCTGTCGTGTGGCGGGCAGTACAGCTTACTACCAACTCAGGGACAGAGTTATTGATGGCACGCAGTGTGGGCCTGATACCAATGACATCTGTGTGCAGGGCCTGTGCAGGGTGGGTGCATTTGTGTGTCTATATGGTGTGAAAATGCACCTAAATCAGTGAATATTCTGCATAATCTGAAGCATTAGTCCTGTATAGTCTTGTTCAAGTGTCCTTTGAATTAATTCCACATTCTGTTTCTGCAGCAAGCAGGATGTGACCACGTGTTAAACTCCAAGGCCAGGAGAGATAAGTGTGGAGTATGTGGTGGGGATAACTCATCTTGCAAGACTGTGGCAGGAACGTTCAACATAGTGCATTATGGTAGGTGACACAGGCTGTTATTTTAGCGCAGTTCTTTTCATGTTAGTCAAGCAACCCAAAGCAGTTTAATTCAGATTTAACTTGATTCGCTTTAGTTCCACGCAGTTCAGCCCAATTACAGACCAAAAGAAGAATAATATTTGCTCTATAATAATATTTTTTGGGGGAGTATTTATTGATTGCTGCTTTTTTGCAGGTTACAATGTTGTGGTGCGAATTCCCAGTGGTGCTACAAACATAGATGTGAGACAACACAGCTACTCAGGGAAACCAGAGGACGATAACTACCTCGGTAAGATAAGAAATTACATTAGACATTAAATACAATAACATGATTTTTTTCCCCAGTTGTAGTTCAATGGTAGTTCAGAGGATTTAAATACAACTTGGAAAAGTAATAATAAAAATTAGACATGCACTGATAAACATGCTGATAATTATTTTCTTATTATATTCATATTAAATAAAATGATATACTATTTTGTAATTAAAATAAAACCCTATATATTCTTTAAAAAATACTCAAATCTGTCAAATACTAAATTCTACATAGTATTGAATTAAAAAAAAGTTATTTAATTATTTAAAGATGAACTTTAAATGAAGATTATATGTTGGCAAATGTAATGACAAATGAGCATACGATTAAATATCCAACACTGGCTGACAAGTTTTAATAATCTCTAAAATCGACAGATAACAATATGGCACTAAAATACCATGCATTAGAGGTCTGCATTCCCGCGGCTCTCCCACGGGAACCGCGGGACCCGACCAGATTTTTTGCGCCGGTAGCGATTAAGATTTTGGTAGCGGTCGGTAACTCTGGTGTAATTTGAACGGGAGTGGGTGATCTAACAATATCCCGTTCCCGACATCCATTCAGAACAGCATATCTGCACTTTATTCTTATTGACCACTGGTACAGCCTGCACTCAGACTGTTATGCACGCATGCTTTCTGCGTCACGCATTTTATTTGCGGGATCTGTGCGCAGCATGTGCATAACGATGCTCAGAGCAGGCTGTACCGGTGGTAAATATACGACCCTCAGACAGAACAGGCAGGTTGTCGATGAGTGACAGAGCAGAATAAGGATGGAGCAAAGTGTGGATGCACGCTGTCCTTGAACCGTTCAACTCGGTTTTGTTTATATTTTGCCTAGCCTATAATTTTAAATGACAGATGTCGTATTTATTTATTTTTCTCTGCGACAATTTTCCTACTGTGTTAACAGAAAAGTGTTAAACAAATTTAGTATTTTGACAAGACGAATAAAAATAGCTAATAGGCTATTTTGTACAACCTTACAACGTTAGTGCTACGTAACATCGTAACGAAAGTTAGTGCTGATGCTTTATGCATCATTACAAGACAGTTGCCAAATGGAAAATTGATTTGCATATTCATCATGATCAATTCTTAATTAAATGAATCCTATGGTTTGATGTGCCATAGGAGAACTGATGTCAAGATTTACTGCAAGCTTATTTACAAGAGGCTTTTGCAATTGTTTTCATAAACGTTTTTGTGTTAATGCTTCAGAACTCTACAAATCTAAGGAAATATGTGCTGTTTTCAGCAGATTACGGAGCTGTGCTTGTGTGTTTATTGATATCTTTGCATGCCTATGTGTATTTGGTGCATTTATGTGTGTTTATGTATGAGGACCAGGGGTTAGCCGTTGTAATGTGTGAAGTAGTGAGGCAAGTAACTCATGAAATTAGCTACATAATCACATTAGTGCACATTTTTGAAGCACACTGACTTCAGTAGAGCAAGATGTGGCCTCTTCACAGAATGCTGGATTTCTTTACCCCGATTAGCCTAATCTGACCTGACTGTTGCTAAATCTGACTGTAAAATTGACTGAAAATGTTTTATTCCTTAGGTCATGCAGGTCTTGTAGTGAGAGATATTTGTGTTTCAACAAATGGACGCTATTTAATTATTTATCCTGTGGCATGAATATATATTAGCTTTTTGTGCTTAAACATAAAGAAAATAAAGCATGCACGTTGTTTCATTTTTGTTTTGCAGCCTTGTCCAACAGCCGTGGAGAATATTTACTCAATGGTGATTTTGTGGTCAGTATGTTTAAAAGGGAAGTCAGAGTAGGGAATGCTGTTATTGAATACAGCGGCTCTGACCATGTTGTTGAGAGAATCAACTGCACTGACCGCATTGAAGAGGAGATTATTATCCAGGTAATATGGCTTCAATTAATTCAATTTAAACTTTTATGTTGTCTTACATTGTGAAACCTCACATTTTAACAACGTGTGAATAATGTTTAAAATCTTTGTAACACCATACTTTTGGCCTATATGTGATCTTTTCCAACTAGGTGCTATCCGTAGGTAACCTCTATAACCCTGACGTCAGGTATTCCTACAACATTCCCATAGAGGACAAACCTCAGCAGTTTCTCTGGGATGCGTACGGCCCGTGGCAGGATTGCAGTCTGTTGTGCCAAGGTGGGTGTGAGAGAAGCAACAAATATTTTTTGTGAAACATTCGCCAGAAAAGTCAGTTTAGAATTCGGTGAACTTGAACCAGACGTTTAATGCTGGCGCGGTCATCCAGTTCAGTGTTTCTTGGAAATTTGGAGATTGCAATGAGGAACTTTTTTTTTTCTTTCTTTGTCTAGATCACAAACATGTGTTTGAACTTGTGTATGTCTTGTGCTGTATGTTATGTGCATCAGGAGAGCGCAAGAGGAAGATCTTGTGCAGTCGTGAGTCGGATCGAGTAGTGGTGTCTGATCAGCGGTGCCATGGCTCTCCCAAACCAGCTGTGATCTCTGAGCCATGCAACACAGACTGTGAACTCAGGTACATGTCCACATTCACTAGCTTGTGTGTGTGTGTGTGTGTGTGTGTGAAAGAAGTTAAAAGGATAGTTCACCCAAAAATGAAGATTCTATCATTAATTACTCACCCTCATGTCATTCCAAAGACCTTCGTTCATCTTCGGAACACACAAAAAAGATATTTTTGATGAAATCCAAGAGTTTTCTGATCCTGTAGAACACGCATGCGCTGCGCCTTGTTTACAAACAGAAGAATGCACACACATACGTCGTGGTACTCTCGATAATGGCGGAGGAATAATTGTTGAATAAAGTCATTATTTTTGTTTTCATTGCGCACAAAAAGTATTATTGCAACTTCATAAAATTACGGTTAAATCACTGATGTCACATGGACTATTTTAACAATGTCCTTAGCACGTTTCTGGGTCTGGGAACATTTCAGTTACATTGCTGTCTATGCAGGGTCAGAAAGCTCTCGGATTTCATCAAAAATATCTTAATTTGTGTTTGTGTTCCAAAGATGAACAAAGGTCTTACGGGTTTGGAACAACATGAGGGTGAGTAATTAATGACAGAATTTAAATTTCTGTCAGGACCACTATCGTCAAAATGATTAACACTTAGCATACAGTTTGGATTAGTGGTCGACCGATATATCGCCGATAAGTTTTTCTGTTTGGCCGATGCGTTCGAGGCGGGACTTGTTTGGCCGATGCATTCGAGGCGCATCGGACTTTTATTTTGACGGCGCTGAGAACGGCAGTGCCTGAACACACAGTGCTCACATTCTCCCTCTTGTTCGCTGTCGTCGTTAACAGTTCTGTCCATGGACAGAAGTCTGTCTAATAATCAGATAGAACTGTTAAACAAAGGAATTAAAATGTATACAAAAAAGAATTATATAGATTGCTTTTATATTGCTAGTAATAGAAAGGCAAACAATAAAATACTTTCTCGTTTGCCGTCAGCATTCAGCAAATATGCATTTATATCGTTTAAACCAATCTTTGAATGACTAATGAACATCTAATTTCAAAAACCTTGCAAACTTAGTCGAATCCAGTTGTGAGATCTTGTGAAGTGTGCATTTGTATCCTGCATGATCACGTGTTCTCTGTGTGACGGTCGATCCGTGCGAATTGAATATGGGCAGGAGAGTTCAGCTTCATTGAGACGCGTGATCGACAAACTTTAAACTTGTGATTTCAAATTATGCTGCACTTCATGCTTTTGCCCAATGTCATATTCATGTCATTTTCACTGTGTGCTGTATGTAAAATGAATGTTACCTTGGCTTTATTTGAAAAAATGTGATTCCCAATGCACACAAACTTCCCAGAATACTGAGTGCCCTGTTGGTTTTACTTCCTTTTTAATTATATTTTTATTAAATATTTGTTTATTTGTGAAAAATACTTTGTCATTTAAAGTATAAGCATGTTTATTTTACACATTTATTTTTTAATCCATTTTCAAATGATTTAAAATTTCTTAAATATTAAATAAAATAAAATTATATCGGCTTTATATCGGCCATCGGCCACCCTGCTTTCCAAGATATCGGCATCGGCTGTCAAAAAACCAATATCGGTCGACCACTAGTTTGGATTGGCGGTATGGTTCTGTTCTGGGCAAACAGATATCAGATATCATTAATGTTCTTAATGATATTTAAGTGTAACAACATTATTCAAGATAAAAGGAGTCTGATTCAATGAGGACTATTAGAAAACCAAGTCCTGATGGTGGCGAAAGGAGGAGTTGGGGATGGAGGAGGGTAATTTGCTCCTGAGCAAGTGAAAAAGCTGCTGAATAATACTGAAGAGACCGTATATAGGAAAGCCGTGATAGGCATTGTATTCCTATAGGTAGATGTGGATCATCTGAGAGTCAGCCGATGCAAACTTGACTCAAGTGAGCGGCCAGAACTAACGCTATACGCTTGATTTTTGGGTAAACTATCCCTTTAATTCTTTTATTCAGTAAGGGTACAATAAATTGATCAAAAGCGACAATAAAGGCATTTATAAGGTTATAAATTATCAAATATTAAGCAGCACAACATAATAAGATATGTTACTTGAGCACAAAATCAGCATATTAGAATGATTTCTAAAGGATCATGTGACACCGAAGACTGTAGTAATGATGCTGAAAATTCAGCTTTACCGTCACAGGAATAAATGACATTATTTTAAATAGTAATAATATTTTGCAATGTAACAGTTTTTACTGTTTTTGATCAAATAAATGCAACCTTGGTGAACATAAGAGGCTTTTTTCAAAAACAATCTTACCGACCTGACAATCTTTTGAATTAGTCTATTTATTTATTTATTTAGTCAGTTTTTGTAATGAAACCAGAAATAAGGCTACATGGGGTTTAACTTTGTTGCATTTCTTCAATTTACAGGTGGCAGGTTGTTCGCAAAAGCGAATGTACAGCCACTTGTGGTCTGGGCTTCAGGACTTTGTACATTTACTGCATCAAACAGAGCAGGTTGGATGGGAAAACCCAGAAGGTTGACGACCGATTTTGCAGCAACCAGCACAAGCCTGAAGACAAGGAGGTGTGCCATGGAGACTGCAACCCTGGTGGATGGGAGTACTCTTCCTGGTCTGAGGTGCGAAAAACCTCATTGGTCTCAAAACAGCTCTTGTTAAATATATTAATGTACTTGAAAGAATGTGGACTGTATACATTTTTGACATGTGACTTACTATGAGGATTTTTTTCTTGGTTTTCTAGTGCTCCAGGAGCTGTGGAGGAGGAACACGTCGTAGGAGTGTAGTATGTGGAATGTCAGCAGAAACTGATGACGAAACCAAGTGCAACCCACAAGAAAAGCTCACAGTCCAACCTTGTAATGAGTTCCTGTGTCCTCAGTGGAAAACTGGAGACTGGTCTGAGGTAAACAATGACCAATGCATCCCATGAAAACATGGGCAGCTTCAAATGTAATCAGAATTCATGCAGACTCTACTCTGCTCTGGCCAAGCCTGCTGTGATTGGCACAGAGAGGAGTCCTTGAGCAAGTTAGCGAGTGCTACCATTGACAAAGCACCTTTGCATTAGTGATGGGAAGTTCGGATCATTTTACCGACTCTGAAAGGTAATAAAGAGTTGGTTATTATTATTAAGTCTCTTTCTGGCTCAGACTGGATAGGTTAAGCTTATGGGGCTGTCACGTGATGAACGAACGTCTTGAAAAACCCGAAGACTCGAGAGATGAACTAATCAATTCTCTTTCTGGCTCAGACTGCATTGGTTAAACTT